AAGCTGTGTGTGGGCAGATTAGAGAGTAAAAGGATGGGATCACTTGAGAGGAGGGTAAGAGAAGCAAGTCACATGCAGATGATGAAAGACTGATCAGCAGTGGAAGAGAGGGGAAGGGGAACAGAAGTGCTGATCAGTGAAGAAAGGAGGAAACAAGAAGCACATTGTGGGCTCAACTCAAAATGTTGCGGCTCATCATTAGCTCCCATGGATACTATAGGTCTAAGCCCCTTGGAAATGGTAGACTCATATGAGCAGAGATGTAAACTGACTGAAGAATTTTTGATGGGCTATCCTGCCAGCAGGAAATGCAGATTTATTAATATTGAGCATTCTGCAATAAATATAAGTGCAGCATTCTCAAAAAGCCTAAATAACATAAAAATAATAAAAATTTCCACTCAGTTCCATTATCAACATCCAATGTTTCTGAATTTCATTTTAAATGATCCTTTGTTTTGCAACATACTATACATTGTCCATACTAACATAGTAGCACGTTTTGAAAATCTCATTGAAATAATTTCACTCACTTGGGGTTTTTTTCCGTATCATGAATTTACATCATATAAGGACTTTTTAAAAAATTCTCAGATGTGGGGAAAAAAAAAAAGTCAAAATAATGACTTTCCCTGTAGCACATGCTTTCTCTGAGATAAGAAGTTTGATTCAAAGCACACACTGAAATTAGTCGGACATCCATTGATTTCAATGGAGAAGATCTATGAGGAGAGCTTGAAGAATAGAAGGAAGAAACTGGTGACAACAAATTGAAGGAATTCCTTTTTAAACAATGCCTTACAAATATACACAATGATCATTCAGTCCTGCCTTTGATGTACAGCTCCCCAAAGCTTTAACTTTGCTACTACAGGAAAAGCAGAACTGGGCTCCCAGACCAGACAGGCACGAACCACATCTGTTCCCTGACACACTAGAATTAACTAATGAGGTACCGCTGACTGCAGTGTGTATTTGCATCTAGACTGGCAAGTCCATACCAAGGTCCTGCATCAATGGAGACTCATCTGTGACTTGTCATATGGCTCAAAGCCTTGCTTTGGGCTATTTTCTAGAAATATCCGTTACATTTCCTAAGTAAGACAAAACTATCTGAACAGTATTTATTAAGCTAACATCAGATCTACCAAACCAGGACCTGGTTTGTATCACAAATCTGGTCATGTGTCTCTTCTGCATAAACATGTAAAGATACAGAAAGCTCAAGGTGAACTGATTCATAGGCAATACGTACTATTGTTTGGACGAAAAAAAATAAAACCAGGTTAATACTCGCACCCAGGCTGATTTTATCTTGTAGCTCACTGAAAATAAAGCTTTTGTAATGGGAATGTCGATACAACCTTACCTGTAACAGCACAAACACAACTACTGAAATACAGTTTTGAGTAAGCTCCATCAAGGAGTGTTTTGTAAATGAATAATGACTTTGCTTAAAGCCAATCAACATCAAGTGTGTTAAAAAAGATGAAATAGTGCTGGAAGGCAGTGGGAGGTAGAGGAGCCTCAAAGTGCAAACAGGTGCTGATCTCCCTTCAGGGGGGATTGAGTGGCACAGACCTTACAGGCCTGTCACTTCTGATCAAAGCAAGCTCCAAGACCACATAATCACCATCACCCACCTTTTAAAGGATGCCCTGATTTATCATCTGTCAGTGTTAATAACTTGGCTACTCTGTCTAAAATACTTAAGAACATTACACAAGGATAACATTTCAAATTTTTTTAGAGAAACGTGTAAATGTTTTAAACTGAAATGCACTGAAGTTCCTCCTTTGAGGCCATCTGTTGTTGGAGACCACCTGTCATCAAAAGACCACCTGAGCACATAATATCCCATCATTACAGAACTATCCCCTTGAAGCCATGGATTTTAAGTGTTAGAATAAGAAGGGTGTATGTTACAGACATTGTTGTTACTGGGCCTTTCATATAGTTTGAAGCCATGGGATGTCAGCCATATGTGAATAATGGCTTCATAATAACATACATATGAAATGCTACTTTGGGAAAAATCTGATAAGAGATCTGAACATTCCGTGACTGAGCTCCTCACATCCTTTCAACCATGGTGCTTGCACTGTGCTGTTCAAAGTGTTCTAATACGTCATACCTAAGACTAAACCTTGAAACTATTGAGCTTAATTTTATTTCTCTTTACAAGGAGCATTGGCACTTACTTCACTGAGAAACAAGACTCATATTATTGTAAATAGAATTTTGTGGGGTTTTTTTCTGAATCCCATTTTCCTCTGCTGATCTCATACTCTTACCTCATTAATCTCTTTAGCAAACAAAAGCACTCTGCACCAAGCTACCCTTGCCAAAACAAAGGGACTTACTATGTTTCTTCTACCTGTCCCTAACATAGGAATCTCTACCTGAATGTCGAGACATAATCTACATGGTCACAACCTACACGTTTGAGACAATTTCTACCCTCACAGCTCCAATGGGAAAGAACAGAGCACTTGTACACAAGCCTGCGCAGACATCTGATTCTTCACAGTGTATGTATACACTAACAGAATGAATATTTTAGAGATATTTTTAGCTGATAAACGCCACTGGACTGTGATAAAATATCCTTTCCGGAAGGACATTCTGGACTTGCATTACTTCCTCAACAAGTTTGCTATGGAGTGACTGAGTTGTTAATATATCCACATATAGATACTTTTCTTAGAAGTCTACTGATAAGCAAATATCCAATAGGTCGTGACAGTACTTAGAGAAAAAAAACTATAATATGCAAAAAAATAAAGATATGAACATGATTTTACTAAAATATAAGAATACTGTGAAAAATAAGTAAGTTTAATATAGGATATTTTTGTGATATATTTTCTTAAAGACTTTTTGTTTTATTATTATTATTATTATTATCAGTATCATTTAACTAACATGCAGACTTTTAAGACAAGAATAAAATTATCTGTTAAATTATTCATGTTATATTAAAACCTGAAATGTTGAGAAAATAAATATATAATTTTCCCTTAATAGTTGTAAGCTTCCAATTCCTTAAGTAGCAACTTCAATATTAAACTGTTAAGACTGTTACGAGTTACGGGACAGTAAGAAATACATTTCTGATTTAATTAATTCTTAAAATCTCCTTAAAGACAATCACTGTACTCTGCTTCATTTACAGTAATTAGTCCTGATGTAATGAAACAAGTGTCATTATATACTTAAAGAATCTAGTCTGCTTACCAGTAAAAAAAAAAAAATTTTAAAAAAATCCCAAATAACTGCAAAGCTGAAATCAAATCTAAATGCTTAGTTTACAGTTTAGCAAGAATCTGTTTGTAACATGATGCATCTAGCCAAGCATTCATATTTGGCATTTTCATAGAACTTGCAGTTCTGCTCTGGTGACAATGAAGGGCCTAAGCTGACAACTGATTAAACTCAGAATGGCAGCAGGAATTCAGCCACTGCTGAGCATCTTTCTTCATTTCTTTTCTCTTCCAGAATCCTAGTAACAGACTATAAAAATACATGATCAACAATGAAAGCAAATCATTTTCTATAGTCTACAAAAATAGTGAGATGTTTATTTCAGTGGCTAGTGTATTTTAGAGTGAAGCCTGAAACCATTCTCTAAACAAATCTGCCGCTAGTAAAACCAGCACTAACCTTTACATCAGAGAGAAAATTTGTGAGGCAGATACATTACTGGCACAGTGACACACATAATGACAAAACACATATTTGAAGAATTCCTGTAGCAATTTCCAATGCACAGGTTATTTTAAAACTTTGTATTTCTTGGGATCTAATGTAATTTGTCTTAACTAAAATACATACAGACGCGAAGGCATTAATTCAGTAGTTTCAGAAGTGGATTTGTTTAGTGCAATGTCCTACTTTGGCTCCAGCAGGGTGTGCTCTGACAGGATTAACTTCCAAGGCATCTGAAAGCTGTGTATCAAACAGTGGCACATAGGCACAAAGAAGGAAAAATATATTTCCTCTTCCCCAAAAGATAAATTTTATTTTGAATGCTTCTTTGCATATGTGCATTTTAGACATGAAGATTAATAATACCTGCACCATCATTTTTTTTTGTCATTCAAGTTCCTAGTCATTGCTAGAAATATTTTAAAAGACGACAAAAAATTATCTGTCGCACTGCACAGATACATTGAAAAACCAGACCGCTAAAAAAGATTCTTTTGTTATAAAGTTCCTAGCCACAAGATGCCTGTCACGGGGATCCTCACTCTACCAAAGTCCATTAAGACCTCGTTTCTTTATGTGATGAGATACCTGATAAAGGTTTTTCTAGAACAGCCTGTGTGAGAAAGTGAGGTTATATTACTATCTCACCAGGTGATCACACAGCCTGTTAGTTAACTGCATGGAAAACTTGAGGTTCATACAAAATCATGCTCCACTAAAAACTTTTTGAAAATGTGTTTACAATTTTAACTTTATCATAATAGCTTTCCTAAGGTAGTATTCAAAGTCTGTATTTATATTTCTCCTGCCCCCGACCTTCCCGAAGTCTTTTCCCAAATAACAGTGATACTTTCAGCACTTAAAGGGGAAAAAAAAAAAAATCCCTGAAAAGTAGAGACTGAATTGTATTCAAACTGTGCTGAAGTGAGCCAGCTATCTTTAACATGCTGAACATACCCTATGCAAATTTTGAAGGGGTGTTAACCAAGGATCATTGTTGTAATCTCAGTGCTTTGTAAACATGGTACTACTCTACATCACTGCAGCTTTTTTACATCTCTAAAGCTTCTTCCCATTCAGTTTTCTCAGTTGCAGAGGCTCACAAAAAGATACAACTTCAAAACCATTTAATTCCAACTTGCAATTTCTTGTGAGTAAATTATTGTTCTATCTGCTTATACTTGCAGGCAAGTTTAACAACTATTATATTCAAAGTGTGCTTTTATCAAAGAATTGAGAAAACAAGTTTATTAACCACAAAGCACATCAGAGAAAGCTTAGAACACACAAAATTATCAAACTAAAGAACATATTTTATTTTTAATAAAATAGTGGAGCATGAAAAATAATTGTATATTACAAATATATACAGCACAAAACTGTGCACCCCCAGCACAGTAAAGAGCATCACTCTATACAAAGCTTCCCTTTGCAGAATCTAGTGCTTCTTGATCTATTCATAGTGAGAATTTGTTTAACAATAGAAAGAGTCAATAAGCCCTTTGGGTCTCTTTGAATTGATCCCCCCCCTTTTTTTTTGCACAAATCAGTCCAAACGTGTATAACATTGGCTTGATTTCCATTAAAAAGCCACAAAATGTAACACTAAAGGGTTTCTGAGGACTAGACCTCTTAGTTCTTTTGTTAAGAGATTTCTTTTGTTGTCTTTATGTACAGCAAAATACTTGTTTCTCTTTTCATGTCATGGTAAGAAAAAAAATGTATTGCACATTATTCTTATTCACAAAGTTTGTGTCTGGTGCAGGAAGTTTCTCTTTTAGTGAAAGAATATTGGTGAGCATTATAGATTGAACCTATTTTTAGGCATTCCAAACCCACTAGGCTGAGATGAGTTGTAAAGGATTTTTTTTTTTTTAAAGTTAGCATGGAAGTTTCTTTCACAGATAGCATACTTACTGAGGATAGGCCTCTTTGGGACCTGAGTTTCCCTAAAGAGACAATGCTCACTTGGGCACTTTTAAAATCAAATCATTGCTCCATAAAACTCGACTATACCTTGTTACTCAGAAACCTGTAGGAAATCCAGCTCAGCTACACAAAAAAAGTTAAATAGGGTGTTGTTTGTTTCGGATTTTTTTTTTTTAATAAATCTGAGGGCTGGATGAAGTACTTAACTACAAATTAGTAACAGAAGAGACTGTTTTAATTCACAATATTTCTTTCACTGAAAACCTTTCCCCAAGTATGTTTACCTTCAGTTATTCACCAGGTCCTGAATTCAGCATGATACATTTTTTGCCTTGACATATTAAACTGTTCTGACAAAAAAAGCACCACTTATTTTTTTAATTTCTGACTGCTACTGTGGACGTTTGTAAGTCTGTAAGGTGAGATGTCTTTTCTAAAAACCTGGTCACACACAAGTGGGTGGTTGTAATGTTGATTCATATTTTGCAAGGTGAGTTTTCTGTGGATGTTGAGGTTTTTTGTAGATTCCGCTACTTGTAATAACACTTGCAGGTTTTCTCCTACTTCTCTTCTTTAATCTTCGACTACAAACATTTTGCCAGGACTGAAGAGTCTTGGAAGTCCAGATCCACATACCACTAGTAATGCCCACGACTAATAACATAAAAATTTTGACCATAAAAATTTCTACTGCTGGAATAGAGTTATTCATCATGCAGTCTAAATTTTTAGTCTGATTGTTCATCTTGCATTTCTGTTGAGTTGCCACAATTTTCCAATAATCCATATTAAGTCTTTCATAAAAATAGCAAGCTATCACACAAGTTGCAGGCACTGTATACAAGACTGAGAAGACACCAATCCTGACCATAAGCTTCTCCAACTTGTCAGTATTTTCTCCACCTGTTTTCATCACCCTCCTGATATGAAAAAGGGCCACAAAACCCGAAAGAATGAAAGAAGTGCCAATGATTAGATAACAAGCCAAAGGGATGAGTACAAACCCCGTCAAGGCATTCACATCCATGCTTCCAACATAGCACAACCCTGTCAGCTCATCTCCAGCCACCCTTCTCATAACTAGGATCATTATGGTCTTCACAGCCGGAATGGCCCACGCTGCCAAATGGAAGTAGCTACTGTTTGCTTCAATTGCTTCATGTCCCCATTTTTTCCCAGCTGCTAGGAACCAAGTTAAAGTCAAGATTACCCACCACAAGGAACTTGCCATACCAAAGTAATACAGAACCAGGAACACAATGGTGCAGCCAGTGCTCTCCAGTCCTTCCTGGATGACATAGAGCTGGCCGCTGTCCCTATCACAGGCAATACTTTCAGCACCTGAAAAGAGGCGAATAATGTACCCCACTGAGTAGACGCAGTAGCACATCGAGAGGAAGATAATGGGCCTCTCGGGGTACTTGAAACGCTGAGGATCTATCAGAAAAGTGAGTACAGTAAAAGCACTGGAGAAGAAGCACAGAATGGACCAGATGGCAATCCAAATGACAGCAAATTGTTTGTCATCCTTGCTCCAGTAAACATCAACCCCCGGAGTGCAGAGCGGTGCACAGGAAGCGCTTTTTTCCACATGGTGGAACTTGCCAGGATTTTCACAGGAGGTTCTGCTGAGGCTGTCCTTATGCTGCTGCAGGTCGTGGCCGCTGCTGGGCCGCTGGGGACGAAACATGGGTGGCAGCATGCTGGATCCTCTGGGTGGCTCATCAGATCCGTTGTTGGGGGCTTCCATGCACAGGTAATTGGGGTCGTTCTTCCTGGGCAGCTTGCTGCAGTTTAGGGAGTCTGGCCATTTAAAATTGAACTGCTCCATAATCGGAGAGCATTTCAGCCTCGCCTGCTCGCACATAACCCTGCAGGCTGGGATTGATGTAGAAACCTGCTCTGTGCACATCGGGGCATAAAGGGAGCAGAGGAAAAATTTCAGATGGCTGTGGCAACCATACTCCACCAAGGGGGCAAACTCGTGGAGCTGAATGGCAGCTTCCCGTTGGTTTTCATGTCCCATCAGGTTGGGCATCCTCGTCATGTTGTACCCTATATCCTTGCACATGGGGATTTCTATGGGCTGGCACCTCCCGTCCCCGGGGCGGTCAATGTCTATGGAGCTTATCCCGGTGCAGAAGCAGGTCAGCCCGCACAGCACCGCCAGAGTCCGGACCAAGTTCCCGGTCGCCGGCCCCATTGTGGCGGCCACGCGTCCGGCCGGAGCGCGGCTCCCTCCGCGGGCGCCGGGGCC